GGTGGAAGGGGAGAGGTTAATGACTGAAATTCAAGAGAACTTGAAGAGCTTTACACATGATTTTTAAGTTCTCATTACTTACTTAAATTGTTTATATTTTACTAACGCTACCTTCACTATTCTAATTTTTGTACGACTTACTTTGTTATTTACAAGTACAGTAGTAGCTTTATTTACGTCTCCTATAAAAATACAAACAGCTTTAGCATGTGATAACCAAATGACCACTTTTGTTACTGTGCTAATAGCACCATTTAAACGACCACTAATATAAGACACAATTATATGGTGCGTGTTCTAAAGTTGGAAAACCAGACTATCTCTATATAAATGTGCAGAGAATGATTGCGACATTAACTATATTAGACAGGTGCGATTTCCATTGTCTTTCTTTTCCAAAAACCTTTGATGAGGGAGTGGGTAGTAGGTGGATTTAGTTATGGGGGGGGGGGGTGGGGATCAAAGACTATCTCTATATCTGAGCAGACAATGATTGTATTAGACACGTGCGATTTCTATTTTCTTTCATTTCCATTTAGCCAAACTATGCCACAGCAACGCGTGGCCGGGTACAGCTAGTGATTTATATGATGTAATAGCAAGACTAATCGACGTGATACAGCTCTCAGTGATTGTGACACTAATGAAAGAAATGCCTTGCAAGATTTGTCGCAGTTGCACTGCTAAATTCAAACTGAAGTCAGAACAAGGCCTGAAAATCCAAACGTCTAGAGAACACAGTGTGGGGGACGTTATTTCACTGAAAATATGCAAACTTCAGAAGGCATTTTCTAGTATTGATGTGTAAATCTACAGTGTACAATTTACAATCTACACCCGCCCAATATAACGTAACTTTTTGTTTTGTTTTCTCAGTCTTCTGGCTAAGATCAAAGAGTAGCTCTTCTGCACTGATTTGGACAAACCAAGTCACGGGTGAAACCCAATCTGCTAGAGCCATCTAATAGATGGTCATCTAAAAGTAGTCACGTCTATCTATAAAACCTTCTATCTCGTGTGCCTTCAATCATTTATGACACAGATGATCCTCCATGCCATGATGTCAGACTGTCCAGCATCTTGTTCTCCGGTCTCTCTCTGCCTCTACTCCCCGCCAACTTTCCTACCATTACGATGTACTCAAATTTTCTCCTTCTCGTCACATGATCAATTAATGTAGATTGTCTTTTCTGATGTGGGTAATCAGTTCTCTTCGTGAGTAAGTTTTTTTTTTTAAAGACATCTTCATTATTCTTTTTTTTTTTAAATTTTTTTTCAGGCAATTACTATCGTTCATCTGCGACGCTTCAAAATATTATCAGTTAATAACTAATCGCTCTTTACATGATTGTATTTATTTTTCGTCATGCTGATATGTACTTGCCGATCACAACTGGCTCACAAAATCTATGGCAAGCTAGACCAGATTTAATTTCTTGATCCAACTATGCCATTTGAGCCAGCCATACAGGTATTTTATTTATTTATTTATTTATTTTTAAATTTGAAAAAAATCTTGTTTGAACAAATCAAGCATATATTTGCTAGCGAAATTTAAAACGCCTTTCTCTGTACAACAGTCCAAAAAAGTCTGGCTTGTCTTTGCATGAATACTCTTATCAAATTACGATTTCCTGTGCATCTTGGGAAAATCTTTTATCCGTTTAATGCTCAACCATTATTTTGACTCCAATACCCCTTTCCCTTTTTACCCCCACACTTGAAGCAAAATGTAAGCCCAAATCAAATGATTCTTGATTTGTTTGATCCGTTTCTTGTTTAACATCTGACATCCATATTATCAATTCTCACTATGCCTAGTGGCACATGAGGCTTCAGAGAGGACTTTCCATGATTTCCTGTCCTGTGCAATCTTCAATGCAGTTTTCCATGTCAAAGATGCCGCACTCAGGTCACTTTCCATCGTTCGTCTCCATGTTGTTTTTTGGCGCCCCTTCTTTCTCTTTCCCTCTGGTGTCTATGTGAGAGCTGTTTTGGCAGGCATGTCAGGAGTCATTCTCTTAACGTGGCCAAGCCATTTCCATCTTCTCTTGGTTATCATAATGTCTGACATACACCAACCGTTATAGGTTAGAAATATAACATTTTAATTTTTTTTAAATTAGTAATAGAAATATTTGACTGAAGAGTTTCCAAATTTTCACAAAACCGATTTTGTGTTGAAGATCTGTAGAAATTGGTTTGTCTTCCGCTCGAAATAAAGACTGTTGCAAGATAATAATTTCCCCGTGTACTATTTTGCTATTTCTTTCTTTTTCTTTTTATTCGTTTTCTTGAATAAGATCACAACTCATCTTTGTTTTCATTTTAATTCATCCCTCGCTGCTCGATACATACAAGACGTATACTAGCAATGATTTAATTTTTTTTCTTCAAATCAACAACAAAACAATAAAGAAATGTAGTTTTAAGAAATACGTTTATTTATTGACAGATAACAAGAACTTGTCAGATATCATGAAGCTGGACTGGTATGGAGCTTTAATACCCTGCGGATGGAGAAGGTATATTTGCTGGTTAGTGGTATCCAGAGACAGTTGAAAAATGCACGAACATGGGTGAGTCGTTTAGCAATACACACCCCAACACACACATATGCATGCTTTCATGCATTTACATCACAGCTGCGGGAACCGGTTTTGAATTAACACTCCTCACGCACACGAACGCACACCGCCCACCTCCCAACACACAAATATGTATATATATATATATATATATATATATATATATATATATATATATATATATATATATTTATAACTCTGTGTTTGTGTCAAAGGAGCGTTAATTTGAAACCCGTTCCAGCGATCAATAGGAATAAACTCCACAGGGGAGCATGTACAGCAGGGATCTACCAATCGTCAGTAGAAGTAATCTCTCGTTGACAAACATTTCGGCCCACGAGCTCCTAGACGTTTTCAGAGAATGGGCCCACCTGAGTTCA